ACCGCCCCTGTCACCGTCGCGGCGCTGCTCCCTGCCCCGGGCTCGTGCCCCCCCCTCCGCTGTCCGCACTTACCGGGAGGGAGGGCGGGAGGCTGCGAGCCGGGCGCCGGGACGAGACTGGCCTCGCCCCGTTCCTCGGCAGCAGACACGCGCGCAACGTGCTCACGCTGCCACCCGGCCAAAATGGCCGCCGCCCCCACTCACCATAGAGAAGGAAAGAAAGGGGGCAGGGAGTGGGAAGGAAGGGCTGCTCACCATAGAGGAGGTGTGGGAAAGAGCGACGCCTCGAGAAGGGGGAGGGGCTTAGGGAGATGAGGCTGCGTCGTAGTTGCTGATGGACGTGCCTGGCCGTGGCGTCACCAACGAGCGACGGCAGAGGAGAGAGCTGCAACGGTTTCGTGCCCCCTCCCCCGTGTAAGGACGCGCCTGGTCGTGGCGTCATTGCCGAGAGACGGCAAGAGGAGGCGACCGCATGGGGCGTGAGCGGACGCGCGGGGAGGCTGGTGGCGGCTGCTCGGTGCGTCCGGTGTGTCCCTTCCCGCCCCCCGTACCGCGGGGCTGGCCCTTCCCCCGGGGGAGTCGGTTCCTCCCCAACCCGGCGGGAGCTGGCGCATGCGCCCCACTTCCCTTGGCCCGGGGTAGCGCGCTGTCGGGGTGGGAGGGCGAGGTTGAGCGGCCTCAGCGAGGGCTGGGGCTGGCTCAGCTGCTCCTGTCCTGGTTCTAGGCTGCGCATGGTTGGGGTGAGGCAGGCAGGGCGGGGAGCAGAAAGCAGAGCAGCAGATCGGGTAGGCTCACAAGCCCTGAAGACTCGAGGAAGTTTCTGAGGCTTTTTCACGATGTGGCATCAGCCGCCGGTCCTGCAAGCGGATCCTTTTGTTGTCCAAACCAAGTGAGGCCACCTCGTTGCCCCAGTATGGTTCTCCGGGTTTTTTTGGACCATCTTCCTGGCTCTCGGGGACTGCTTCCTTTCTGGGATTGGCGCTGTGAAGCTCCCCTTCCGCTCTGTGTTCAGCCCAGGGTGAGTTCTGTTCCAAGATGGAACTCTTTGAATCCTTTGATATGCTGGTGCCTGCGCTGTTCTTGCCTACAGACTGGGCCGGATCTCTTTGAACTTCCAGCACTGAGAAGACTGAAACACTTGATCAGCCTGCTCTAGGCCAGGAATGTGAGCTTCCCTGTCCCTCCCCCTGCCCCATATTACTGTTGTGAGACAGACCCAGGAGGTAATCAAGCACTTCTAGCTCAGGAGCTGCCTGTCCCAGAGAGTGACTGTTAATGAGGAGATCCAGCACAGGATCTGATGTGCAAGTGACTCCTTTGGTAAATTGCTTTGGCATGTCTTTTTTGATTGCCATCTCTCGAAAGATGCCAAGATCCAGATTTACAATGCGGTTGTCATGCCCACTCTCCTGTACGGATGTGAAATATGGGTGACAGGGCTTTAGATGACCTACCATCATCATCTCAAGAGCCTGGCGAGGTATTGCCAATAATACCTCTGGAAAATCCTCTGCATGAAATGGGAGGATCGGCACACAGATGCTAGCATCCTTGCTCTGCAGCCAGAGTTACCATTGAGTAGGTGATTCTCAAGCACCAACTTCCCTGGATTGGGCATTGTGTGTAAATGCTTGACTCCCAAAGCAAGTGCTCTACTCCTAGCTTAGCAGTGGCTTGAGATCTTGTGGTGGTCAGAGGAAATGTTATAAGGATGCTTGAACACATACCTGAAGAACATAAATGCTGATATGCAGAGCTCCAGTGGTGCTGCAGCCTCAACCAGGTGGCAGCCCACTTTGAGGTAAAGCGTCTTGCCTTTGAAGCAGAGAAGAGAGAGCAGGGGAAAGAAAAGGAGAGAGAGCCTACTCTCCCCTATGGAAACACCTGCAACTTCTGCGGCCAAATCCATGACTCGAGGACTGGACTGTTACTTCACCTCAAGACTCATCAATCAGGCATGATACAGATCATCCTTGAGTCAAGGGATCGCTGATGACAACAGGGCAGGATGCAGAAAGCAAAGCAGCAGACTGGGTAGGGAAGGGAACTGGAGTGGCACTCAATGGTTGCAGTGCTTAATTTGTGGCATGCCTGCCAAAAAGGTTCACTTCCACTGCTAAACCTTTATGCGCATATAACACCCTCCACACTAGACAACTGAACCATCCTAATCATAGCACTTTCAAACAGATCTAATGAAGGCAGGATGTATTTGGGAAGAAGAGGGGAATTGAACACTGGAGAGGTATTGGTTACTGAAAGGCTCTGAAAAGGAAGAACAGGAAGCATAGTAAGGGACTTAGTGGTTGCACTGGGAGCTCTTTATAGAACTGGGAAAACAAAAAGGTCAAAACAAGCGGAAAGAGGGATATGTAGGGATGAGTACCAAAGATTAGCAGTCTTAGAGGGATAAAATTAGAAAGGTTGAGACACAAAATGAGTTTAATTAGCAAGGGGTATAAAAGGCAACAAGAATTTCTGCGACTGCATTGGGTAACCATCAGCAAAATGCACCCAACACTAATAACGAGAGTTAACCATTTGCAAAATACACCTAGTGCTAATAAGGAGAGACCATCGAGGCTGCCGATTCTTTGTTTTCAAACAACAGCATTACTGTCTTGAAATTTAACATTTTCATCTTGTAAATGGTATTAAATCCTATTTGCAATGCTTTTCACCATTTGTATCTCATGTCTTCTCTTTGGGTGCTCTCCATAGCACCCTGAAGATAACCCAAGTCATTGGGGGAAAAGGTATCTATGCATATCTATTGGTTCAGCCCCCCTGTTCTCTTTTCTTTGGGACATTTATGTGAAATTGCTGAAACATTCTTAACAAATATGACTTTTTTAACAAATAGAAAATGGATTTTAGGAATAGATGGTTTAACATCTGCTTTTGAACTTCTCTTAAACTAAGCTAGATGAGGCATTCTTAGTTGGAAAATGTATTCAAACAAGAATCCAAAAGACTTCCTGAAATCAGTCCCCTTTCTGTGACCACTTTAGTCTATCATTCCACATAGGAAAAAATGGCCTAAAACTTCAGTAGAGGAAATTTAGTTTGGAGGTTAGAATAAATGCCCCAACTATGATGGTGGTCAAGCGTTGGAACAGGCTACTTAGAAAAATTGTGGAATCTCTGTTGCTGGAAATTTTCAAGAGCAGGTTAGACACATTTGGCTGGGATGATTTAGTTAGGGATGATCCTGTCTTAAGCAGAGGGCTGGACTGGGTGAGCTCATACTTTCCTATGGTCATAGGATCATACTGCTTTTTAGGGAGGGACAAGTCTTCCTTTGTCAGGTTTCATACAGCTACAACATGGGATTATGTATCTGTTTTACAAAGCAGATACCTCCTCCATTTGGTCTCTTCCTGAGTTTAACTTGCTGCTTTCTTTAAGGACTTGTATTCACAGAAGTTCCTTAGCGGGTTCCTCAGTTTTGTTATCCAAGTCATTAACAAAAGTATTTAGAAAGTCCGGGTCCAAGACTCACTGAGATCCTTCTAGGATCCACTCCTCCCCTAGAATATCCTTCCAGTTAACTGTTGGAGACTGATCTGCTCTTTGAGAAGTTTTCAACCAGTTTTACACCAAACTGTTATGACTACATCTAGAACACTTTTCCTTAGCTTTTGAGGTTGCCCTTGGGGATTGTGTCAAAAGCATTACTACACTCAACATCATATACTTTGTCGCCATTATTTATTAAGTCAGTTCCCCCGTCAAAGATGGAAATTGGGTTTGTCAAAGGATCATGTCAAACTATTTTGGCTGATTTGAATAGTTCAGTTTTCCCTGCATCATCTTTTTGTTCTTTTTCCCCTATTAGATATTAGCACCCCCGTACTTTCTTTTGCCTTCCTCCATAGAAAGTTGGAGTGTCTCTTTCCAGTTCTTTGTCTTAAGATGTGAGATGCACAGGAAGAAGCTTTCAGCTGGAGATGTTGTGATTTTTCTGTGATTTGAAAAATATGGAAAAATTACTTTCTTTTTTTATTTTGTCTTTTTCCCTTCCATGTTCCATGTCTAGTCCCAAGAGGACTATAGTGGTTTTATAAAAAATTACACATGAAAGCAATACTTATGCCTATTTATTATTCAGAAAATAGGCATACATTGTTCAAAATGAGGAACTTGCAATTCTGTAAATAAAAAGTCCATGCGTTTTTAATCAAGTCTTTGGCCTGCCATTCTTATAACTATCTTTAAATTGGTAATTCTATATTAGTATCTAATTACTTTCTAAATAACTAGTTTTTTATGGCATGTCAACCAAACCAATAAGAATGTGTTTCAAAATATGCTTTATTGTTGCTAATTTGGTTGGACAGAAGTACAGGTCATAAAAACTGAGAGAACTATGTATTCAACCATTTGTCTTCATTTTTCTCCCCCACCATTTTAATGCATGAACTGTAATATTTGCAGATTTAGTGTTTTGGTGGAAATCTGTATCTTTAACAGAAGAAAATGGATTTAAGCTACATTCTGTTGGTCACTTCCTAGCCTCTTCTTCCAGGCTTAACTATATCAGCAAAATATTGGAAAAGTTCTGTAGCTTCTCTGAATTCCTTTTCAGTGTAACAGTATTATAATCTATATGTTCTTGTGAAATTTTTACATTGCTTTTTCAAGTTTGATGTCTCTCTGTGGAATCTGTTTTATAAAATGCACTTATTTAATCAAGTTCTTCCTTGTGCTCAATGCAAGGTTTAGCTTACGACTACTCTGAAAGTTAGAGGCAGTTTCCTGGAGATCCCCACCAAGTGGTCTGGGCTTATTTAGTCTGGAGAAGAGATGACTAAGGGGGGATTTAATTGCAACTTTCAGCTACCTGAAAAGTGGTTACAAAGAGGATAAAGCTAGGCTTCTCAGTGGTGAAAGATAATAGAACAATGGGCTCAAGATGTAGCAAGGGAAGTTTGGGTTAGATATCAGGAAAAGCTTTCTCACTAGGAGGGTATCGAAGCACTGGAATGGGCTACATAGAGAGGTTGTGGAACCTCCATTGTTAGCGTTTTTTAACATCTGCCTAGGTAAAGCCTTGACTGGGATGATGTAGTTGGGGATGGTTGAATGACCTAGAGGTCTTTTCCAACCCTAATTTTCCATGATTCTATAATTCTGTGTCTCCTTGATTAACACCTAGACTCTTGAGCTAACCAATCTTTAGTCACTAGGTGTTAGAAGACCTCCTTATCTGCCATAATGTACTTTTACGTTGTATTAGATGGTGGTTTCTCAAAAAAGTGTAGGATGGTGACTATCCATGCTTTAGAACAAGGATGTCAAAGATCCGGCCCACAGAGCCATGCCATGTGGACCTGTGGGACCTGTTCTGGACCCTACATGCCAGATCCAACACCCACTGCTCTGGCCAGGTGAGAGTTGCGCCTCATGTGGTGCCCGCTCAAGCCAGGGTGTGGCAAGAGCTCTGTACAGTGTGAGTCCTGGAGTGTGTACTGCATGCAGCGTAGTCCCAGGCCAGCCGGAGTGCTGTGGCTCTTGAGAGCATTATATTTTCAGACTTCAGTAACAAACTCACTGGGAAAATTTTAGGAAAGGGTGTTATATATTTATTAGAATTTTGCCAAGATAAAATATGTGTCTAACTATAAGTGTAAAATATATTTATCATTCTCCTTGAAAGAATCCATGTTTTTTTTGGATAATTGTGTCATGAATATAGCTCCAAACTGAGTTGCTTTTGGAGTTCACTGTGTGGTATATGTGGATATTCTCTACACATTAGATGTAGTCCTATGGTGTTTAGTCTCTAGTTGTAGTTACTTTGAAGCTGGGCTTAGTTTTTTCATTGTCATATCTGTATGTGTTACGGTACTTGATATAAATGTACTTTTGTAATTACATGATGTAACCGAAAGATAATCAAGTGAGCTAGGTGCCAGATAACTCATATGTGCTAAATGCACCTAAGCACTGCCTGCCTGTAAAGGGGAAATCAATTCCTCTATTGCAAAGGCCTCATAGAGTAATGTTCATAGAGAG